CACTGATTCATTCTTCAGCTATTGACTCAGTGCTGCCCACTCGTTATCTACTGGGTTTTTTTAAGAGATGAAAAGCAGCAGAAAAAGCCATGCACATGCAAAATAAAATCATTACCCTAGCTAGGGCATGCATACACAGGCAGAATCATTCCCGGGCAAATCTCTGGAAGAACTGACTAGCCTTCAGCTTATTATGGGGCCAATACTTTTTGCTTGGCTGTCATGATATTCCTGCCCAAGTCCAACCAGTGTCCAACAGCCTGGCCTTGAACCTCTCTTGGAAACAGGGTCAGTCTGGGCTAACAGGGTCTTGCGGCTGCCTGTAGCTGGATCAGTACAACACAAATTTTGCAGCTCTTGTGCCTCCCAGGAAACTAAAACTGCCACATCGTGTCTACAGAAGAATTGATAGTGTATCCTTGCATTGCTTCACTTCATCCCATAAAGGAGCTGGCTGTTGGGTTGTTCCCAAGCCTTCCTTCAGCCCTTCTCTGCCATAGCCATCCCCCATATCCCTTTCATCCGTCTCTTCTTCCTTTAGTGGTCTGGATACAGCCGGCTATTGCATAATCCTAATTATGTTATTGCTGTAATTGTGTCGTCTGCAGCACATGGATTTGTTACAAGCTTTTCATATGCTAAAATTCTTATTAATGAGTGCAGTCCCAACCCAGCGACTGCACAACAACAGCCATGACAAAAAGATCTTTTGGAAGGCAATTAGCTCCATGCTAAGCTACCTAAACCACAGCAGTGCTGGAAAATTTCAGGCTGGAGAGGAAGCACTGGCAACACGGCTTTCCTCTTCTGTTTTGATGAGTTAATGAGTTACTGAGTGGCAGGAGGCACAGCTATTCTTGTGAAACAGCTCTACTAAGGAGCTCTTCCTGGTTAGTACCAAAGGCAAGAGCATTTATCCCTGGCCAAACAGAGGGCAAGATGTATTCCCAGGTGACTTTTGTATTGCTTTCCTTAGGAAAACAATACCCCAAAAACTCCCAAAGCAAAACACAAATCAAAACAAAAACAACACAGGGAAAGA